AAACAACACACACATATATATATATATATATATATATATATATATATATATATCAACATGAACAACTTAGGCTATCATAGCATAGTATCAACTTGAACATCTCTACATCAACAACTCAAATTTTTCATAACAACGACATGACATAACAACACAATACTACATGCGTCGTACATTTCAACTAAGAGATCTCCTACAACATAAGGTGAACAGTTTAAATGGTTTGACCTTGTCAAACCAACAACATAAAGTGATCTTTTTTGGATTTGTTAGGTCAATAACAAATTGGATATCAAATCCATAGCACAATTAATAATTTGATTTCTCAAATACCACTACTTAAACAAAGAAGTATAATACTATTGTTAGAGTAGAACTGCTGGGTATACACCTACTATGACATTAGCTAGCTTAATTAAGTCTCTTATGGGATTAGTCCACCAATTATTCCAAATATTACACCCTTCTAGTCCTCAATTAGGAACTAAATTTTTGACTTCGTACTTTACTCAGATGGTCATTTGTAATCATTATAGGTCGACCTTACCCCTATACTGTAGTCATTTTATACTCATATGCCTTGATTTTGCTCACACATGAAGTCCACTAAGGTCCTAAAGGAGACTCAACTGTCATTTTCAAGGGTTAACTTTCCAATAAAGGTTTCAATAAATTAGACTCTTAAAGCACCACAACATACATCTCAACTACATTTTCAATTCTCAACCATCATTCATCTCCATTTATCATCATGTAATGAAATAACAATGTTTAGCAACTTAAACAAGTAACACTATACATATCCATCTCATACTCAATAATGCATCAACCTAATAACACAATTTCATTTAGAAATTAGCGCTCGTTGTCACATGACTAGCACTCAACACCATCTAGGCAAAGAACTTTCTGCCTCACCCACGCCTAATGTTACACAACTCGTGCTCGACCTGGATAAGGTGGAGGCCCTTGGGACCTCACTCCTAGCATGGAGAAGTCCCACGCCTAACCTCATTCCAAACAAGGGGTTTCTATCGGACTGCCCAACGTTACTATACTAGCGTCCGACATCGTCTAGGTAAAGAGTCATGGCTTGGCCATGCTAAGTTCCATTCCATTAAGGTTCGATGTCACAAAGTTAGAGACCTCCTAGTGCTCTCACGTCTGATGTCATTCAAACCACGTCCAACGCTATTCCAACCTAAGACAAGTCTTTCTCTTTACACTCAATGCCACCAATCCTATATTTGGCGTGACAAGATAGAGAGCCTCATGTTGAAACATCACCCAATGTCTCAAAAGCACACTCGATGCAACACAAGTTTTGCACTTTGCAGATCATGAATTTGGCTCATCCCACCTGAAACTTATCAACTTCCAAACATCTAACACTAAAAACCAACTATTTACATCACAACCAACATAAAAATATACTCAAATCCAACATGCAACAATAGGAAATCAATTCACCATTTTCATTTCAACATGCTTCAAAACCCACAACCCCAACTTAGGTCATTCCACTTAAAATCATGCAACTTAATAACAACTTGAATTAAAATCAACCACAACAATGTAACAGCTTCACTATGCCAAAAAATTTCAGCTTCCCTTACCTTGGGCTTCAAACTAGTCGAGGAAGAAGAAGAGAAACTCAAAACTCCACACCTCACCCAATTGACTCAACCACAAAATTCTAGTCACTACTAACCTGAATCCAAAACAACATAACACTAGCAAATAATAATATAAAAAAAAAGGTAAGAAGGTTTTGAGTTGAAGGAAACTCATAAACCTAAATCCTTTTTTTTATAATACTTCTCTCTAAGTTATGAGAATTTGAGTTTATGAGCCTCTATTTTAAATAGACATCATATATACTCCTTTCCTTGGAATTAAATTAAATCTCTGCCTAGAGAAACTTCTTCAACTACTAAAACTTATAAGAAGTCCTTAGATCCTAGAGTTCTCAACACAAAACTACATCTTAACACATAAATCAACATATAAATAATACAATCACTACTCTTTAACACTTATAGTGTTACATTATACAGTTATGAATGTGTTTAATAAATTATTTGATGAGCTTATAATAAGCTATTTGGAATAGTTTATAAATTAATTTGACAAATAAATTTATTTGATACAAAAATTTATACAAGTTTATTTTACAAGCTTATATTTTATTTTCATTAACTAATTAAAGTAAATTATAGCTTATAAACTCTTATTTTTCTTCTTTTTTATCCTCATTAACTTGGAGTCTTTTTTACCATTTTTAATTTAGAAACTATTTTACATATCTTATCATTCACTCACTATCTTTATAAAAAAATATTTTATATCATTTTATATTTATTAACTAATTTTATTAAATACTTTCAATTTAACCAACTAACTTATAAGTTTATATCTTTTCAGCTTCGAGCTTATAGCCTATAATAATGTTTCGATTAACTTATAAGCTTCTAATAAACTTATACACTACTCGTATCAAACACACCTTATAGTTTTTCAGTTCTTAAATTTATAACTTAAAGTTTTAACTAGTTTATAAGTTAACTATATCAAACACTTTCTACGTAGGAACTTTATATATATATATATATATATATATATAATAAAAATTAATAAAGATAATTAATATATCACCGTGTTACTTTATTTCAGCGTACTATTTAATATATAAGTAAAAATGTCCATAATATCAAAGAATCATGTAAAATTTATTGTACATAATTGAAAAACAATATTAATGATTCCATAATTGAATTGCTTAATTAATTAAAAATTTTACAAAAAGCAACATTAATTAAATGATTTCATAATTGAATTGCTTAATTAATTAAAAATTTTACGAAAAGTTATTAATCAATAAAAATATATAAGTTTAAAACCTAATGTCACTAAATATTTGTCTTATACATATACACGTGTAAGAGAGACAACAAATATTATTTTTCTTTTTAATAGAGGGAAAACGGTGTTTAGTTCTTTCAAAAGCAACTCGATAAAGCTTTTTCTCATTATAAATAACTCTTTGAGTATATTAAATTTACCAATTCATTCGATTTTTGCTATCATGTACTAAATTTTAGACAAATAAGATTTGCAGTTATGTAATTTTTTTCTCTGATATGATGCATTCAGTGTTTCAAAATTAATAATCAATAACTAAATTATATTTGTAAAACATGATTTTCTCTAACCAAATATTGTATATTATAAAATTAACTTATGTAATCTAATAATTAACATTACTTATGTTTTAAAAAATATTATAGTTTATTTAATAAAATATCAAATAATTTTAAAACTTTATTAAAAAAATTGTAAACTTAAAATTTTAACTTGATATTTAAATTAGTAAAATTTAATATATATAAATATATATATATATATATATATAAGATAATTTACCAAGAATTACTAATATATATTTGCGTGTATTTTATATGTAATCGAGTAAAGAAAATTATTAGTGATAAAAAAAATCAGAAAATAATGAAGTTGAAGAAGCGAGCACAAGAAATGGGGATGTATACTGTATGTTCTGCCTCCAAAAATGCTATGCGGATGTGGCTTATTATTATTTTTTCCTTTCTCTCTCAAAAAAAGAATTATGAGGGGAATCTAAACTTATAAAATTAATTTATAAAATGAGAATTTTAATTTTATCATTATTTGATATTATTGGATCTCCAACAATCTTTCATGTTGAGGACTGTTCAAACTTGAAATTTATATGACAAAGTCCAATAACAAGTGATTAAATAAAGTTAACAATCAATAATCGTTAAAATAATTTGATACCATCTTAAACAAATAAATTATAAATCTAACTTAACATCACAATATTATAAATTTATGAAAATTAATTTTTATTTATATATATTATTTTAATTCCATCATCACCTATCAATCTCAATATGATATCTCCAATAATTTCTTCGTCATAAAATGTTTAAACAATGAAATAATAACTTGTTTTTTGCAATTATAATCCACTTTAGAATTGTTTTGTACCCAAAATTCTACTTCACATCACATGCGATCGATTGTATCGGATTAGATCTTTATGCGATTGTATCTCACCAATATATCTTCATATTGGTGAAATATTATCCGCTTTGAAACTAAGTCCTCATGAATTTGTTTTTGAACGTTACTCAAAAAATATCTCAATCAATAAAGACAAGTGTGTATATATAAACCCATAACTATCCTCTTATTTGAACGATGTGAGACTTTGTTTGCATCCCAATATTACTCGTAGTATTTTCTAACTTAGGAAAGTGGAAATTATTACACGTGGCTACATTAATTTTCCCAAACACTGCACATGAATAGACACATAGACTAATTCGCTATCTTTTTCTTGTAGACAACGTTGGGTATCTCTATCTATAAATAGGGATAAGTTATGGAGTTATCCATCAAAGACCAGAGTCAGAAATTAAGAGACCCTTTCATTTCATTCTAAAAATGAGACCTCTTGCTGCTTTGCTTCCTCTTATCTTCCTCATCCTGGTATGTTTCCATACATCCTATTCATCATTTCACCTACTAATACATTATCATTAATTAGGAACAAAACTTAGATACAAAACGATAGTTATTATTAGTGCTGTTTTTCTTAAACCAGAAATACAATTTAAACACGATAATATTTAACGAAATTATTTATTATAAAAATCAAGTGAAACTGAAATTCTAATCGAAAGTTAACATCAATAATATTTATAATACTTTATCTATGTTTTAGTGTTTTATTTTAGCCATCCTAAAAACACTTTGCAAAGAATTTAAATGAATTGAATTTGATAGGTGTCGACATATGCAAATAAGATAAAGATAAAATTTAAACATGAAAAGTTATTTTTTTTTTTTTTGTCTATTATCTGATACACTAATTTAATTTCATGTTGTTAGCGCAAGTGGTTGGGTTGCTTTTCTAATGAAAGGTTGGGTTTCATCGTTATTTTCAACATAAAAGTGTTACTATAGTTTTAACATGGATCAATTCAACAGGAAGGAATTATACTATATACAGATAGAAATGAATGATTTATTTATTTTAAAAATAAGTTTAATTAGATTTATTTCACTCAATAACTTATATTTTATATTAAATTTTAACAATTTAATAGTTAAATTAAAAATTTTAATACATAAATCAAATCTAAATTTTTTTAAAAATTTTGAAAATTATTTTATACTTTATTATATAAATTCTAATTAACATGTAAAATATTTTTATAATTATTTATTAATTTAAATTAAGAAAACAAAGTACTTAATAGTTTTCAAAATTTTTAAAAATTTGTAGACTTAATTGATACATTAAGAACTCTTAATTTATATAAATTCAAATTAACATATAAAATATTTTTTTTTATAATTATCTGTCAATTTGAGTCAATAAAATAGGATACCTCATGAGAAGGGATCCACTTATTACTCTATTTAATAACTCTTATTCTTCATCAAATTTTAATAATTCAACTATTGAATTAAAAAATTTTAATATATAGATCAAATTTGTAAATTTTTTAAAAGATTTTAAACGTTATTTGATACTTCGTCTCGTTAATTTAAATTAATAGATAATCATAAAAAATATTTTATATGTTAATTTAAATTTATATAATAAAGTATCATATAATTTTTTAATTTTTTAAAAATTTATAGATTTAATCTATACATTAAAAACTTTTAATTTAATGAATCATTAAGGTTTAATTAATACAAGTTAAATTGGATTACCCCTATATATACACACGCATTGAAATTTTACTTGTAGATTCCGATTCTAAAAAATGTCTTAGAATATATATAAATCATAAAATAAAAAAAGGTTAAATTACATTTTTGTCCTCTATTTTTGTCGATTCATAATTTTGATTATACTATTTTAAAATAAAGACATTTAATCCTTTTAATTTTAAAAATATGAAATTTTAATCCCTTGTCAAATTGATATTTATTGATGGTTAAGTTTTAACGATTATTTGAACTTAAATGGTGGTAAATATAATATAACATTTGGTGATAAAAAAATACTATAAAAAAATGTAAATAAAATTTATAAACAAAATAAATAACTATTAGTCATCAAAATAGGTACAAATGAATTTTTTTGTATGTTATTTTTTAATTTTTAATCTCATATGTCACGTATTTAAATATCACACATTACTTAAGTAGTGACAAGTTATCAAAAAATGTCAAAACTTAATGATTAACGAATACCAAATTGATGGTAAGACCAAAATTTCACATTTTAAAAAATAGAGAGATCCAATGTTTGTTTTTATTTTAAAATAAAGAAACTAAAATTGTATATTGATAAAAATAGAAGAACTAAAAGTGTAATTTAGCCAAAAATAATTAGACTAAAAATTGACATTTCTTCTAATCATCGTTATGTATAAAAGAAATTTTGTGCTTCTGAAAATTATTTTTAAAAATAATAAATAATAAAATTTATATAAAAGTGGATAGTTATTTAAAATATAAATGGTTATAAAGGTGAAATTAAAAAAAATATAAATAAATAAAAAATAAATAAAAGGTTCGTAATTTATAAAAGAGTAATTACAAGGATAAAATTATAAAAAATTGTATAGATTAAAAAGTCTAATTCTCTTTATTATAATTATAATTTTTTTTATATAACTAAAAGGTTAAATTAACATAGATTATACTTTATGTAAAGCTAAAGTCAATCACCAACTTCTTAAATATATCTCATCCCACTTTTTAATAAATCCATCTATGATATGATTATTAAAATAAAATTATTATTATTATTACATATAATTAACAAAATCAAAGGGATATATATATAAGGAGGATTCAAATAACACCGGTGTAACTTTTACTAAGTGTTACACCGCTCAATAACTTTATATTAAATGTGAATTTTGAAAATCCAACCGTTAGATTGAAAGTTCATATCTCTTAGATCATATATATCAAATTTTATATTAATCTAAGATGATTTAATACTTTATTCTTATAAAACAAAATTGACGTAATATATACATTTCAAAATATACTAAAATATGAACACTTTGATTACCTTCAAGTTGTTGTTCAACTTTAACAAAGTTTGACATATATGATCTAAGAGATATGAACTTTCAATCTAACGGTTGGATTTACAAAATTCGCATTTAATATAAAGTTATTGAGCGGTGTAACACTTAGTAAAATAGTAATTAAAGTGTTTCAAATTCTTAAAAAATAAGAATAACATGACATGTGTGTAACTATAAAATAATATTATTTAAAATAAGAATAATATGAGGAGGGTTCAAACGACTCGGTGTAACTTTTACTAAGTGTTACACCGCTCAATAACTTTATATTAAATGTAAATTTTGAAAATCCAACCGTTAAATTGAAAATTCATATCACTTAGATCATATTTACAAAATTTTATATTAATCCAAGATGATTTGATACTTCATTCTTATAAAATAAAATTGACGTAATATATTCGTTTCAAAATATACTAAAATATGAATACTTTGATCACCTTTAAATTGTTGTTCAATCTTAACAAAAATTGATATACACATATAAAGTGATATGAATTTTTAATTTAACGGTTAAATTTACAAAATTCACAATTAATATAAAGTTATTGAGTGGTGTAATACTTAGTAAACAGTAAAAAGTGCTTCAAATTCTTAAAAAATAAGAATAACATGACATGTGTGTAACTATAAAATAATATTATTTAAAAAATAATTAGCAACTTACTTAAATTAAATTCTGAAAAAGTCTTTATAAACAATGCATGATGTTGTGAAATAAAATAAAAAAAATATAAAGTTATTGAAAATAATTTCATTGACTATCACATATACAAATTTCCAAACCTCTATGAGTAGTAGTCGAAATTGTGATATACAATTATTAAAAAAAGATAAATTTTAACATGTTTAAAAACTGTTATTGACGTTTATTTATTGTTGTTGCAAATTAAACAAATACAGAAAGTTATCTTATCAAATAAAATTAATGACACACGTACGGTTACATTAATTTTTTTTTCTTAAATATATTATTAATCATGTCAAAATTAGCATAAATTTATTTTTGGTCCCTAAAATTTAAAAATATTTTTACTAGTCTTGTAACTAAAAAAATATATATTTTAGTCGTTATACGCAAATTTTGTTAAAAAATATGTAAAATATTATCATATAAAATATACATATTAGTATTACTATTAGTAAAAACATCACATTAAACTCGACTAATATTATATAACTATCTCAATCTGTCACTTTCAGATATGTTATTGGTGAGTTGAGAAACTAAAATAATATTTTTTAAAATTATAAGAATTAAAAATAATAATTTTAAATTTCAGGGACAAAAACAAGTTTATTCTAAATTTGAGGAAATAATTTTTTTTTTCTTTTGCATTACTTCATGCATAATTTATATCAATCAAGTTTGAAATTTCAAAACTCATTAATTATTTAATTTTATTATGTTCCATAATTTTGAAAGAAATTCAAATTAAAATTAAATAAAATGAAGATAAAGAAGCAACTATAAAAATGACAAAAACATAATATTAATATTAATAATTAACATCTCGTGAGTCATGATAATAACAATAAATAAATAAATCACATAATTAATATTAGCACATGATATAAAAATATTAGCACATGACATACAAATTTTAGAATAATAACTCAGATAAAAAAAATTGCATGTAAATCTGTACAACTATACAAATATATATATAAAAAAATATTAGAGGGACCAAGACACTTCATATCTCTAATAGTTATATACAGATAGAATATTAGAAGATTGTGTATAATTATTCAGAGAGAATATAAGATTATTTTTTTTTTACATTCAAGGAGTATAATGATCCACTAAAAAATGTAATTATATACCCTTAATATCTCTTTTATAATAGGTATAAATATTTAGTCTCTACATTTATTTGATTATTTTACTCTTTAATTAATAAAAAAATAAAAAAAAATGGAATTTTTAATAATTTTCATTCTCTTTTAATAATAACCTCTCTATTGTTTTTTATTTTATTTTTAAATAAATATGAAAAGGCATTAAATGTTTTTTTTTTTGTTTTAATAGTGGATAATAAAAGTGAAGATTTTTTTAATAAAAAAAGTGGAAACACTATAGCACAAAAATACTATACTCAAACAAAATAATAATTATTATAATTTAATTATAAAAGAGATTTAATTATCACATAATTTTTTAAACATTTATCTCGCATCTATTTTATCTTATAAATTATATTGTATATTAGTCTTTTTTCCATATTTTGACTATATTAAATCTATTCCTCCGGGTCTCAACATCAATTTTTTTTATTAAATCTAAAATTTAAATTTGAGATTTTGAGACTTGACAAAATTGACAAATGTTCGTATAGACATTTTTATTATAATGATATAATTAAAATTTATAATTAATTATATATATAAATATGATATTTAAATATATAAATTATATTTAAAAATAAGTATACATAAATATTATTAAATATATAAATTATATTTTAAATTTATTATAAATAATTTATAATAAAAATTAATTTTATTTATGATAAATAATTTATAATAAAAATTAATTTTTATTTATTGATAATTTATTTTATTATATTAATATTTAATAAAAAAATGATTATGATAAATAAAAATTAAATTAAAAAATAGATTAAAATTTTTTCTACAAACTCCTTTGTTGAAAAGAAAAACTCTTAAAAACACTTTTACATAAAATAGAGGCTCATATTTAATATATAGAGATTGATATGAAATAAAATTTTTATTTTTAAAAAATATTATTTTAACTTTTTGATATTGTGATTAATTTCTAATTTATTTTACATATTAGCTTATTTTTTTAATTTTGAATAATTTTTATATAATTTTTTAGCAATTACAATAATATTTAACTATTTCCCCCTTAATTTTTAGTGTCTTTAAATTTTGTTGTTATGCTAATATTGATAATTTATTTTATATTTTATAACATTTATAATATTAATTTTATATTAATTTAATCTTACTTATTATTAATATTTCATTTTAGATATTTTATTATATAATATTACCCTGTTATAATATCATATAATTTATTTTTATGTCTGATCTTGATGTTTTATAATATAATATTTAACAAATATTCTACGTAAAAAAAAATACTCTATTATTATCATTATTATTCAGTATTTTAATTTATTGTTTCACTATTATATAATAATAATATTTTAACATAGTCCTTTTTATTTCACCGTTATATAAGTTAGTCTTCGTATACATTTGATATA